TTCCGCAGTCTTGACGCGGTATCCTTTGAGCAGCATTGGCGTAGATAATAATATGCTTCCATTTACATAATAGTATTGATGAAAGGCAATCATCATAAATTGGACGACGTCATGCTCAACTAGATCAAGTGCAATTTTCTTAGAAGGTTTAAAATCCACAGTACGAAAACCTATATTCATCTAAAATTTCATGTTGCTAATCTAATAGAATTCTTGATTTTTTTCTTCATTATATAAGAAAAATTTTACTTAAAGGGCGTTCAGTTTAAACAGTCGCAGTCGTGAACTGAGATTTTTTGTACCCCATTCGATTTTTTTCTGGAAAACGAAATTTCAAAGCAAAAACCATCATTAACAAAAATAAATTCTTTGCAGAAACAAATGAAACAAGATACTTATTCTAGGTACCTACTCAAACTTAGTTCAAAGGTTCTTTAATCATCAAGAGTCAAACTCGTCTAAACTAGAATCATTGTTTGGTTGTATTATAATAATGGATTGGATGGAGGGTGAAACCACATACTCGTCTTCCTTTTTAATAACATGTTCAACAAATTTTTTCCAAATCTCTTGGTGGTCTCCTGCCATAACTTTTTTACGTTTTCTACAACCTCTTTACTCAATTTTGTAGTTTGATTACATTTTCGTAATTCTGATTTTACGTTTGCCCAGATCAACTCTATAGAGTTAAATATGCAATAGTATGGAGGTAGTCTATCTGCTTATGTGGCCGCGGATTGATAACGAGGCTCTGGCAGTCCCCTTAGGGGCTCACAACTTGTGAGTACGGGAATGGTGAACCCGAGGTACCCTAGCCAGATACTCACCATACTTCAAGTTGTCTTGCGTGATATCCTCTTCTCTCTTCCGTTTTCAATCTTTCTATCGACCTTTCTTGGCCAACTTCTATTTTCCTCTTCTCCTCCAAGCCCAACCTCACCATCAAGTGGTGTGGGGAAGGCAGGCCGCGGCCGCTTGACAGGATGAAGCACTTTGGGACCATCTTCGCTATCTTCTGCCAGATGGGACAATTTGTGGACATCTGTGGCAGGGATGGGGCGATTTGCTGATGTTTGTCTAGGTGGTCGAGGACTGGTCAACGAGGCTCTGGCAACCTAATCCAAGCTGTGGGAACCCGTGGCGATGGATGGATGGCACCGAGGAATGGTGTCGCTAACGGGGCCTCTGGGAAACAGGGCGACATCCCAGAGTAAACAACCTTAGCCCTGTGCAGGGGGCACCACAGGGCTGGACCAACCCCTTCCCCCGTCACTCGTAGGAGAAGGAAAGCTTTTGGCCTTCTTCGTAGACGAGAACAGGGATCGGAATAGCAATATTCAGGGACCTGAACGAGAAGGGTATTTCATATTGAAGTGGCCCTTAATAGGCACCATGAGTCGTATGTGGTAAAATTGATAACGGCATGTAGGTGAGATACAATGGGCCACTAGGCCTAAGTGTCGTCGGAGCCTACAACGGGGTGGAGTGTTTAGTGGGTATACCATGGAGGGGACTCCCACACTATCATATGGGGTATTGGACCCATATGATGTCTATAAAAGATTTCAACCACCTCGGCGAAAAAAAAAATGGAGGTAGTCTCAGAATGGTATGACCTCGTTCTTTGCACAGCTCGTCAATATAATATGTTTTTTGTACCTTTACACCTTTCATAGCACTTAGCATATCTTTTTTCGTTGGGCCTTTTCCACGATTGGTCGTAGGAAGAGCTATATCGTTTTCAGACATGAATGCAATTATTTCAGCTTTTCTACTGCTACTATTCGGTATCTCACGGAGCTGCCGAGAATGATACGATATGCGTTGTCCATAACGATTACTGACTGTAGTGGAATATTAGGTAGAAGCTGTTCGCTAAACCACTTTTCAAATAAGTCTACTGTCATATCTGCATGATAATCAGCAGCACAGTCTTCAATTTTTTTAGCAGATAGTAATAACGCATTAGGTACAAAACCGTATTCGCTTCCAGCGTGTACTATTATAATGCGTTTCTCTTTGGAACATGGCCCATTTAAACAGCAATTTTTACTTTTGTCTATCCAACCGTAATTCACTACATCATGACTGTCGAACCATGTTTCGTCAAGATGAATAATATGTCTATTAGAACATCTCTAGTCTCTTATTTGACGCAAATAATCTTGCCGCCATTCCACTATCGTTGATGATTCAGTTATCGCCATGCGCTTATCAAGTTCATTGTGTTCAAAGCCACTACTTATTAAAACTTGACACAATATGTCTCCACACTGGTATAAGTGTAATCTGGATAATCTGCTAGTTTTTGCTGTATAACTTCCAATGTTGCAACCCTGTTCTCCTTATATAAATCATAAATAGTTCTACGTATAAAGTCTTGCGTACTTTTATAACTTTTTTTTCAATTTCCCCTTACGCTTCTTTTATTTTCTGTATGATCCACAACAACTCCTTTAGAGATCACTCGATAGATGGAAAATTTATTTATTTGCGTAAATTCTGCAATTCTTACATTGCATCATCAGTTCGCTGAATATTTTCCATCTTAAGCCAATCAAATATATTCAAAATAACTTGTTGGGTTTGTGTGTGCAAGTCTTTGTTATCAAATTCATATCTGATATCATTCTCACTAACTTGTGCAATTTCATTCTACCATGGCCGCAAAAATGCCATATTTTCCAATGAAACACAACAGAACCAAACGCACACCTAATATCACAGTGAGACACTCATGGCTTCCAATTTATTCAGATCACTTTTTACCTCGTTTTTTATGAGTATTCTACTTTTAGCACGCTCATTGGCTTGAGCGCACTTGCACTCCGTCTTAATTGGCTGGTTTAGATGTTGACAGCTGTTAGTCAGTCCACGTGGACTGTCGGCACCGTGTCGGCAATCTTTTGTAAAAGATATTCAATATTATTTAATGAATTCAATGTAAGCCCGTTTTCATAAAGTTTTCTTCAATAACATTTATTATTTGTCAATCGCTACTTCAAAGTTGAGAACCAACACCCAAGAAGTCGAAACTTGTGCGGGGTTATGAAGAGCGGGACCTACAGCTTATTGTGGAAACGGAACCACTTCTAGGGCATCGAGGTGATGCCAGGATTACATCCATGAATCACACAATTTAATGAAAAATGCTCAGCCGATAGCCGGATTCGAACCGACAGTACCATCGCATCGTGAACGGCTGTCTAGCGAATTTCAGCGCATAGACAAACTCGGCCACGGCGCCCCTCAACTAAACGAATGTGATATATTAGTTTTATTTCAGTGAGGTATAGTAAATTTGAAAAACATTCATATTTCATCATAATGGCCGGGTGCCCCAACAAGAATCGAGGAATCATTTTCAATTCGGGGTTTCAACTTTCGAAATTGACAACATTCAATGAACATTTTGTATGGAACTGCAGAGGAACCTTAAACCGACTGGCACAACGCAATAACGTTAACCTAGTCTGGATACCAGGTAACACGGGCCTATAGAAGGGAACGAAACAGCAGACGTCCTAGCAAAAGGGGGAGCCGAATCATCGTTCACTGGGCCAGAACCGGTAATCGGTAAGTATAGCATATAGCACTGCCAAGAATGTTATAACATCCTGGGCCGACAACAAAAGACTCGAGTATTGGCGTAGTCTACCAAAGCATTCATTGCTTGTACAAGGAACAAACAGGACTCTCACAAACTACTAGAACTCAGTAGAGCACATCTCAGAGTTATAGTAGGTTTCCTCACTGGCCACTGCAAACTCAAACACCACATGCACAAAATCGCACTTGTAACCTCGACTTACAGCTACTTCTCGGAAGAAAATGTTGGAGCACTTGGTCATAAAAACACCAATTTATGAATAGTATATACTTATACATACATAACTGAGCTTTCATATTGCAATGAAATCTTGAACAAAAAACTTATTCACTGTCAGAGTCAAGAGGCGAACATCAGATCGTCGTTCTATGAACTATCCACGCTGTTCACTTTCATCTGATGACCGTATATTAAGTGAAGATAAAAAGATAATTTGATCTACACTCGTCAAGAAGGTGCTTTCTTTGTATTTTTTATTCCTCGTATTCTCCAACATGTTGGCAAATACAACAGATTAGGAATTAAATGAGATTATGCTATGCACTCACCTGTAGTTTTTTGAAGGAATAGTGTGTTCTTACCTGCATCTCTTTCTTCATAAAATTGGTTACGTAATTCACCATTACTATTCCTTGACTAAGTATAATAGTACCTTGATTCTCAATTATTTTCAGGGACATGATTAAAAATATCTTATATTTCAAGTACTTGAAAACACAAAAACTGGCACCGATCGCAAATTAATAAAATGCACTCAAATAATCAACTAAACTAATGGCAACATCGAATTCGACTCCTAATACCAAGGGATCGATGTTTACGCGACGGCATCTCTGCGAGTACTAAAACGAATAATGCGAATGTCCTGCGACGTTGTCAGTTCATTTATGAATTGCTATTCTACATCAAGGAATACTGACAAGTCGTTGTCGCGCCACTGACGCATAAATGGAAGTGGTCTGAGAGAGACGGAAAGTACGGTGTACTTTGTCAGTGATGAGCCTGTGTATATTTCTCAGATGATTCGATCTTTTACCTATCGAATATGCAGTGTGAAGTAACCACGTCCCGTTTTCGTTCGGTCCAATTTCTTCAATGAATTTTGGGCATTTGTTTAAAAATGAGTTTTAGTTTCGATTATTAAATTGATATTTTTTTCTTGAACAAGCCTATTGATACAAATCAGTATGAAAGAAAGAAGAATCTGTGTCAATTCTGATTTTTTTCAAACCCAAACATGCAAAAATTGTGTAATAAAAAATAATCGAAACTTGACATCCAATTTTTTTTCACTACATGATTCAACATAGGGTGAATTATAGTATCAATACATGTCAGTTCCATTCATAGATAAAAATGTTGTAATGTTACTACAAAATAAAAAAATATGTTATATAATAAATTTTATTATTGGAAAAACAAAACAGTTTCACATTATGATTATAAAGTCATACTACTATTATATAAATCACAGCACAAAGTATATACTCAAGATAATGAAGTTGAAAGTTGAACTCATGCAAAACAAACTATTCAACAGGTTTTATACTCCATTATTATGATAATTCTTGCTAACATAAGCCAGAATAGCTAGAAAACGAAATGTACATAACTTGTACTATTCAACTCCCATTTTTCTTTGAGGAAATCTACTCTGAGAAATAAAAAATATGAATGGCCAGATATCTTATAATTGAATATTGAATTGTAATTGAACAAAATTCCGAATGAAGCATCTTGTGAAACTAAAATTTCATTATTAAAGTGAATTCAATAATTATTGTACTCCACAAATTTTTCATAACTACAAGATGTTCAATATGACACTGTAAAATTAGACCCTTTCAAATGTTCATAATCTCCAAAAATAATGATACCTTACGCTGGGTTGAACTGCCGTAAAGATGATAATTTGTCTCTGGAGTTCCAAAGGGCATATAGAACAGATGCACCAAAGCCTACTGCTCCTCCTAATCCACAGCGTCTCAGACCAGCTGAAAAATAAAATTGTCTAAATTATGCAGACATACAAAAATTCAAAAGAAATTTGCATGAGTACAAGTAACATACTAGATCAATCTATACTAAAATTTCCTTGAAAATGTTGATAGCAGAAAAAGTCCGAGTGACAATATTTGAAATAGGTGCTAGTTATTCAAGTTTTCAAGGTGCTATAGTTATTCAAGTTTTCAAATGAACATGATTTGCTTCTATCATTTCATCTTTATTCTTCCAATTCAGTTGGGTTAGATAATGGGACATTATTATTGATATACAGGCTGACTAACTAAAAATCCTCCAAGCCGTAGCTTCGTTATCAATTCTACGATTTTGAAGAACAAAAAAGCTGAAGAAATGAGTTAACTGAAACTGTGAGTAGGCTCTGACCATTATTTTTACAAATATCAACTGTAACGACAATGACTGACAACTATTTTCTACAAATGGAACCATATATAAAAAAATCTGTTTTTTTTCAGAATAAATAGTTGAAATAAGAAAGTTGGCAAGAAAAAGATATTTTCATAATACTGAATATATTGGTAAGTTATATTTTTATATCATCAAACATAATATTATATATCCGATTTGAAAGAGATTTTCAATTCTCAATTTCAGAAGATTTCTATTTTCATATCCTCATATTGGGTGTTCAAAAAATGTAATTCAAAGTTTGACGAGGAATCTGAAAGAGAATGCAAATTCTCAACTTTAGAAGATTCTATTTCAAATTCTTATTGTGTTCATTTAATAGATATAATTCGAGAAAAAATTCATATTTTTATCAGATAGAGAATGCGAATTCTAAATGTATTTTTTAATATGTACCAATCCATTTTTTTCATGTTCATAATATATCTAAGAATATCCCTTTTCAATACTTCCATACCCAATCAAGGGATTCAAACTTGAACGATGGACATATGTTTTTACAGACATCGAATCACAGAATCGTGATTGGGTTTTCTCAATTCAGAATTTCTTTCCACGACCTATACGATGGATATCAATTCATTATACACGATAAAATCAATTTCATACCATACATTTAAAAAAACAAACCCGTATCAAGCACTTTTAATTTCATTTGCACTCAGTTAGATAGCTATTGCCTTGAGGAAGTTTCAACAAAATTTTGACAAATGTGGCTTAGAAATTTTTCTAAAAATAACTGCTAGAAAGTGATAAAATCCACAATTCACAAACAAAAATACCACTTTGTATTTACAATTTATCGATGATCTAAATTAATTCTGGAATTTTCTCATTCCAAACATAAGACCATTGTTGATCATGTATCTAGTGCAAAGGGTAAAAAATGTGCAGCAGATTTTCGGAAACTAACTTTTAAACCCTTAAAGTCTACCTTTTGGAGAAAAACAGAAAAATTGGGTAAACCAAAAAGGAGTAACTGAAATAATTGTGATAATTGTGATAAGGGATAAAGTGCAAGTATTCCAATACTGCACGCCTCTAAAATAGCAGTCTCAAATGCGCTCCGACATACGATCGATCACCTCCGTTTTTTTTTATGTTCTGGTTCCCACGAAAAGGGATATCCTGTAATGTTCAGAGAACTTCGTGAGAACCAAGGGAAATAAGGTAGGAATTGGTGTTCTTCTTGAATTTCTGGATGAACGAGTCTTTGGAAAGAGACGTTCTGCAGGTCTCCAAAGTGACCACGAAGGGGTGCGAAGCCTCAACTTGACGGGTTAATCTCGCGGGGACTGCCAAGGGAGGAACAATTGTTGATATTTCAGAAGAGCATCGTCCAAGCGGCCAACCCATTGCGTTCGAAAACGATGTCCAGACTTCCTATTTGGTTGATTACGATTTTCTTCCAAACGATCAGTTGTATGAATTGTTGATATTTCAGAAGAGCATCGTCCAAGCGGCCAACCCATTGCGTTCGAAAACAATGTCCAGACTTCCTATTTGGTTGATGACGATTTTCTTCCAAACGGTCAGTTGTATGAACGAAAAGCAAGAGACTGAATTCTTACATTTTTTATTGTCTACAAGATCATGCTATTCAAAGTTCCCCAAAACTGGGTATACATCTTTTCTAAACCCAACTTACAGAGGCTGTAGCTCGGAGGAGGTTTATTTTAGGACACATATTTATATCAAGAAAAAGTCTCATTTTGTTCTTAAAATATTTACATCGAATTTTGAATCAACCTGAATATTTTTTTATACTCGTGTAACAAATATGCAATCAAGTGCGAGTATATTATAGTATATGCAGTATGCACCCTGAATAATTAATTAAACTCGAATTATGAATCTGAAGTTCTTTGAGACGAATGTTACTAGGGTTATGCATAAAAAATACTTCACTAACAATATTGTGGGAACTACACATTCCACAACTTGAAATTAATGATGTTGGACCAAATGTAATTTTGATCAACTGGGTTGAAACTATTCAGCAAGCAAACTATATAATTTCTAATTTATTTCCATCAATATAAATCTGCTTTGTTTCAAACTCACGAACAGTTTGAAGTTCTAGTGGTAGAAGAGGATTTCGGATCGCATGTTTGGAATATTTCAAAAATAAAAAACAAAATATCATAACGTCAAACTCATCTGTCGATATTTTGCACAGAAAGTTCTATTCTCAAACTAGATAAGTACATGAAGACAAATTTTAGTGTTTGAAGATAAATCTCCACAACATACTCAATGCTGAGGTGGTTCGTAAGCGTAATATGTATCGGGCAGTGTATGTATCCTACTGGTGAGGAACAGAGAGTTATTGTGAATAAAAATATATAGTAGTTCATGGTGCATCGTTCCATTATTCAATCTCTCCAGAACCTAATCATACTGAGAAAAGGGGCTTTAGTTCAATGCTTTCACGATGTTTTCTGAAAACAAAGATTGTTTGCCAAAAAAATAGCTTCAGCCACTTTTCAAAGATTATAGATATCGATATGTGGTTTTCACCATTGAGTTTGTCATAAAAATATCAGATTTTGATAAAGTCGATTTCAATTTGACCCACACTGTAGATGACATTCTGATGAAACAGGTATATGAGAACAAATTTAATATTGTGCAATAAATTTTCAAATAAATGCCTAATACTGTCTGTAGGTTAATCGAGGAGGTGATATATTAATGTTGCTATATTATTTGGAAATTTCTCTCCTCGTTTCATAATACTCATATTTTTATTTTGTAGAAACTAGGAGAGAATATCCCAAATAATCTATCAAAATAAATGCCTAAATCATAAATTATAAATCAAACTCAGATCATAGACCATCTACGCTCATTCTACTCCACAATACGATGGTGGTTATACCTTAAGCGGGACACATTATGAATTCAATTTTATTCACGCTATTTCAAAGATAGGTAAAGTTTATGCAAAGTCAGTTGAACAGATCATCAAACGAATGTCGGCCGGGCTGCCGCACTCTTTGAACTTTCAAAGGGACCGACGGCTTGCGGTGATGTATTTTTCCAACTGACTTAGCATGAACTATACTAACATATTTCAATACTATATGCGCGCACTGTATCTAAGGTAACACAATTGAATTTAAAACTGCATAAAATTACATAATGTTGAATGAAACAAGATAAACAGTTTTATGGATATACATAATTATTGTTATGAGAATATTCGCGAAATAGACTCGCGCCGCTTTTCTCGGAATCAGCGGCATCGCCTGGGCTTGTTACACGGAAGACGAAAGAAGTTAGCCAAAAGTTCTCGCAAGGTTAGGTCAGATATTAATTGCGGCAGAAAGCCCGATCGAGTAGTTTTCGAAAGAAAGCGATTATGAAAAAAAGATGAATAAGATGAAGCTGTTCTTCAAGATATACATATATTGGTTAGTGACATAGTTATTATGATTGTATCGTGTATTGACTGTATTGTAGATTGTACTGTTTGTGTTTGAATAAATCGTTTCAAGTTTTCTACTGAGGGTTTGTGAAAAGCCGGACCCGGACGTTTATCGTAACAAAGTAAAAAACTTTTGCCCAGAAATAATCAATTGTACCATATAATCAAATGGGGAAGTTTCCTTCAGATGAATTTTCATAAAATAATTTCGGAACTCCTCAGTTTTATGTCCATGCTGTACAGAATGGCGATCGATAATGTCCAAGTGTTTTTATTCTATAAAATAAAGCAATTTTCAGTTTTCGGGGCGGAAAACTGTGACGTACATTCTAATTCTAGCGAATAGCTAACGAATAAAAAACGAATAAAAAAAATAGAAGAAGACACTTTGGCGTCGTTGTTGATGTTTATAGCTATCATGAAAAATAGCGATGATCAACTAACTGACAAAACAACTATAAACTGTAGACATAAGCTAACGAATAACTGGAGATCAAAAATAGACACAAGTAAAACTGGTGAACAAACACATACCTAACCACAAAATCAGATCAGATTTCGGTGTGCCTGTTAATATTTTGTGTGGTGCGGACTGGCATCAAAGTATTATGCGCTGTTGCAAGATTTAATCTGCAACTTTTCTAGAGAATAAATCCGTTTTATAAAGGAACGAATTCATTTGCAAAATAAGGACTGACAATGAGTTATTATTATCATTTTATAATATGACGAAAGTGAAAAATTATACCATTTTGATGAACTTAATGTGGTGATAAATCTAGAAATTCGACATTTTTGATAGGATTCGATTTTTTTTAGCATCACACCTGTCGATATGAGTAGATCAGACTCGATCAGAATAGTCATGGCACACTCAGAAGAAGAAATGAAAATTGAAATTAAAATCAATATTGTTTGAAATGTCACTTACGTGGTATCATTGGATTCAGAAAATTATGCAGAATTCCAAAAAGGGAAAGATATACAGGGTGTTCCATTTGAAAATCAAAAGTTTATACTACTGCCGGTGAAACCGGAAGTGGCAAATAAAACATATTTATGTCAAAACATGACATTTATCAAGTTGATGGATCATTTCAAGTTTCTATCACTTATCTCCAAAACCAAAGGGGAAAAAGTGGTGTACCATAATCCTGTTACACCCGGTATATACTATTGCAAAATATCACAATGAACCTTTATTAGCAAATAACTTCATCCAGCAACTAAGAGATTTATGAAAAACACTCGACGATGTAGGATTAAAATACCTATTATATCTCATTACTGTTATGATATAGTTATAGTATATTCAAAGAACAATTTCTGGAAATCTAGACATATTGATGTGTGAGTGTAGCTTTTCATAAAGTACCCTATAGGAATGGAGAAGGAGCCAAGTCCCTTCTTCATTTATTTTTTTTCTGAATATGAAATTTGATCTTACGAATAAAATAATAAATACGTATATGTATATTAACGCAATTATTTCCAGGATATCTCAGTTGTTTTCCAAAAGTGAGGAAATCGTATGCGAGGTAGCACAGAAAAAAGTAGCAATGGTTCGTATAGTCACAGTGATATTTTGATTTCATGTAATAGTGAATTGCGTAAAATGTTTTTTCTACTAGCGTGCGGAAGAGTTCACTTTTCCGCACTCATTTCAGTGTTGAAAGAGTCACTTTTCCGCACTCAGTTTTGGAAGCGGCTAGAACTGCAAACTTGGATCTACTACCATCAAAATCCCGTCACAGGTATGAAAAGGAATATAATTTGTTTGAAAACTGGTGCCAGAATAAGGGAATCAAAAGTTTCAAAGAAGACGTTTTTTTGGCTTATTTCGCTGAAATTTCCAAAACATGCAAGCCAAACACTCTTTGGTCCAGGTACTCAATGTTAAAAAGTGTAATCAAACTAAAAAAAACTCGATTTGAGCAAGTTTTTTAAGGTCACGGCATATATAAAAAAAGAAAACATTGGATTAAGACCAAAAAAGGCAAAAATTTCCTTGAAAGAAGAAATTTATCTTCATAAAAGTATTTAATAATAAATGTTTCTTCATGTTAACACTTGGGTTTTTTCCGCACGCTAGTAGAAAAAATAGTGTACCTAACACGTGCGTAAAGTGACTTTTCCGCACGCGATTGCAGATGGCACTTTCCGCACTTGTTAGGTAAACTACTATATAATAGAAATACTAGTGCGATTTGGATCAAAGCTATGTTGTTTATGCTCATCTGATAGATACTTCTTCATGTTCATTTCATATGGTGAGACAAAAACAGAGAACAGAAAATCTCCTTATAGCTAGTCTTAGATCTTCTGGCAGCCTTGGAAAAACCACCATAGCATTTTTCGATAAAGAATTCTCAGCATAAATTATTCGAGAAATTGTATGTATGAATTGTATGTATGAATGTGAAGAACAAACAGAGATATGCTTATGATTGTGCAGATGAAGAAATTAGTTCGTCTTAGAGAGTGATGATGCTTCTATGAATAGGAGTACTACGGGAAGACCTTGTTCAGAACCTATCCCTAGTTTTTTATCTCTTGGAGCGCACGAAAGGAAATTCCTATAATGTTCGTAGAATATCGTAGAGTGAGATTTCATAGAGTCAATGATATGATAGTTGACCATCTTGAAAAAGTGAAAAGAAGATGCATGAAGTGCAAGTCAAACTTTATATATATATGTGATAAATTTAAAATACATCTACACAGAGATGGTTTCAGAATCAATCACAAATAAAATAATTAAATTCAAAAATTCAACCATATGCTTTCAGTATTTACATACCTGTTGATTTATATAAACATCCGGTAGCCGTGGCTGCAACAACAGTGTTGATTTCATCATCAGTACCTCTAGCCCAAGACAAGAATACTCCGAAGGCAGAGTAAATAACAGCTACTGACCCAAATGTGTTAGCAGTGGCACTACCTTTTTTCATAATGTGATTGAGTAACCTGAAATATGTAAATTCTCACCCAGTTATTATGTTTCAGTGGGAAAAATAAGGTCAAACTATTGATAACATCATAATTAGGAAAATTCAACTTGGTTAATTCGCGGTTTTCAAGGTCATTACCTGACGTGGCGATAACGTAAAAACCGGGGGAAACATTCCTAACTCCTGGCATAGATTGAAAGTTAGACATGTTTTCCCCCAGTTTTAACGTCATCGTAACGTCAGATGATGACCTTGAAAACAGCGAATAGTCACAATTTCACACATTGTTTGGCTATATCTACTACTTCAAATGGAATAATACAGTATTTCACAATATTGAACTACTAGAGCAATAACAAAGATATGAATGATTCTGCTATCATTGTCCCTGGATCAGCCGACTGCTTTTTGTAGCCTCTCTTCCGTATATTGTTTTTATTGGTTAGTTTTCTTCATCTCTCTCTAGGCGCGATCTAGCTTTGATTAGATTTGATGCGATGAAATAATTGATAACCGTCAAAAACCGTTTCTTCACATTTAGTCTCCATTCTTTCTCTTGAATTTTCCGGAAAATGTTCAATAGAAAATTGCACTTTTTTGAAATTAGCATCAAAGTATATGTCATTATGTACAGATAAATGCTTGATGCACTATAACCCTTGTTTTTATTTTCAATCGAAAAATAATTGAAGGCTGTCTTATTAATAGACCTAACCTGAATAAATAAGTTGAATGATGTTTCTAATTGATAATGAAAACAAGAAGCGTAGTGTGTCGAGCATTAATCTGTACATAATGACCTATACTTTCATGTTAATTTGAATAATGTACCATTTTCTATTCAAAATTTTCGAGAAGATTCAAAAAAAAATTACGAAAAGGAATCCTGTTTTTTTTATGTTCTGGTTTCCACGAAAAGGAATATCCTGTAATGTTCAGATAACATCGTGAGAACCAAGGGAAATGAGGTAGGAATCGGTGTTCCTCTTAAATTTCTGGAGGTTATATGCCTCGGGGAACACCTCCCTTGGCAATGTGTTCCAGATCCTCGCTGTTCGTTGGATGAACGAGTCTTTGGAAAGAGATGTTCTGCAGGTCTCTTGATAAGACATTGAATAATTGCTCTAGAAGTTAGTACATGACAAGAAATAGATAAGCACATAAAAAAATATGTCATGAAATAATACACATAAAACACATGCCTATTACAACACAAATTGTCAAATAAGGTCATTATTCAGAATGAAATCAAACAACTGCTTTCTGAACGATTTATACTATCATTATTTCCCAGTTCAGTTGGTAGGTTATTATAATAATTAACAGCTTTGCAAGTTATTGAGCTTCGAGTTCTGGTAGATTTGAATCTATTTGGCGGTAAATTGTTTGCTGCTCTTGTTAAGTAATTGTGAAACTGGTTATTAGGAATAAGTTTGATTTTTGTTTTCATGTAGTTACTATTTATTTTATGAATAGTTTTCGATGATTCAAATTTAATAGCTTTAGCCAAATTTAGTTCCCGGTTTCCTTATATACTGTACTTTTATTGCCTTATTCTGTGCTATCTGCAAAGATTTTCTGTCACTGGCATTTAAGGCATTTCCCCACCCACTTAAGAGATATGACATATGAGAATAAACGAAAGAGTAGTATAGTTGTTTTTGTATTCTATTATTGAGTAGTTCTGAGACGAATTTTAAGCATTGACTAAACATTGTCAGTTTATTGATAACACAGGAAAGGTGTTTCTTGAAATTTAGATTGTTATCTATAATTGAGCTCAGATATTTTACACACTCAACTTCTCTAATAATTGAACTGTTTATCGTGATATCAGTTCGTTTGAAGTTACCAAAATTAATATAACAAATTTTTTTTTCATTCAAGCATAAATAGTTTTGAGCACACCAAGATTTCAAAATATTTATGTCTCTTTCAATTTGGTGATCTATGTCATCTTAGTGCCCAGAGTGAAACACAACGGCATCATCTGCATAGAGGGTAATCTTCCCATGAAGATCAGAATAAACGAGGTTGTTTATGTATATCAAAAACAATAGGGGTCCTAATATAGACCCTCGGGCAACCCCAATAGTTGTAAGTGATTTGTCACTGAAGTTATCTCTAACACCTACATACTGATATCTTTCACTCAAATAATCAGTAAATAGATGGAGAGATTTGTCTCAAACACCAATACAGTTGAGTTTGGAGAGGAGCACTTGGTGATCAACAGTATCAAAAGCTTTTATGATGTCGATGACTATACCCCTCACAAGTTTTTTGGTCTCCCTTTCATTATAAATGAATTCAAGTGTGTCAATAACTGCTGTATGCTGCATTTTGTATTTATGGAAGGATTTCCAAGATTTTTTTAAATGTAGAGGGAGGAAAGATGTATTTTGGAGTCTAGCAGAAAAATCTGCATACACACCTAGAATCAGTGTCCTCTGAAATAGATTTGTACTGTGTGTCTCATTTCAAACAGCCCTCCCTCTATATCTCAGCTATTTATTGTGGGATTCCTACCAAATTTGGACCAGCATGAATAACCATCATTATCATCAGTTTTATCTAATAATACTAAATAAAATATTAAATTTACCTGGTGTCCACATGAAAACTCAGTGGTAATGTTTGAGGTTATACCAATTAATCTGAGAATTAATCAGTTTAATAAAATTTGTGCTAGGGAAACTTGTAACATTTTCTTGAAATATTCAACAACTCTTTCAATTCACCAGAACTAACTACTCATTCGAAATGAAAATATGTGCTTGTGATGTTAGTCCACATATATTTCATTTTATTATCATCCACAACACACTGGAATAATTCAAAAATGTAATGAGGTACTTTAGAACTTCAGCAAGAATTCTATCAAATCCACTCAGAACTGAAAATTATAGTGTTTACCATAAGTGTAGGTACCAACCTCACATTAGTATTAGTGATTTAGCAATGTTTTAGTATTTCTCAAATGTTTACTCTACTATATAGTCCAACAAATAGATATAAGAAACATAAAAAATACAACATAAATAACGAGGTGATTTTTATGTCAGGTGGGTCTCTTTGATAAACAACATGTGCTCATTTCTCTCCTCTTGTGTAGGGGAGATATGGAAAAATTTCTTTGAACCTTATGACATTTATTATATTCTAATCTATATCTTATTATGAGTGAAATGAATAGAATTTCGAATTTTACTTTCAGAATTTTACCAAAGAATATACTAGGTAATAATGATCCTGATTCTCAACTAATTCATAAACTTTTTCCTTTGAATTTCAAAAAACATACATCTCCCATCAATCAAATACCGTTTTTCTGCAACCGACTCAAAATTCGTCAATTTTAATTCCAAAACTAGCTCTTGAAGTAGACGTTTTTATTACTGACACAATAGTTATTTATGTATCAAGGGCGTAAGTAGGCTTTTATGGACCACTTGTAAGTAGACTATTGATATACCTACGTCCATCAAATCAAGTTATGCCCGAAATACATACAACATTTAATGCACGACCAGTTTGGACATTTATTTAACGTCAATATGGAATTTGGCGAAGATACATCAAATGGTAGTCTACTAGAAATTACTGTAAAAACAGTGAAATTACTTTACTGCCCACTAGAAAACTTTACCGCCCGCTGTACTCCTTTATCGCCCTAGTGCGTTGAGCGTTTCTTTATGCCCACAAATCCAGGCGATAAAATGCTACTTCAAGGCTGGTCGTGCATGAGAATATTCATCTATGTTGCTAGGACACACTTTAGTTCCTTGGAGCTGAAGTTGAACTTCAACCAAAAAGGATGTTTTCTCTGTTGACATGAAGGATGTCAACACAAATTGTAACAAAGTGAAGTAGTCTGAGGCCTTGTTTCTATCTACTTACTCATATTATTATAATAATCTGTCAATTGAGTCAACTGGATGGTTACATCACTTTTTTTCAGTTAAGTATCAATTTACTGATGGTAATCAATGTTAATTGATTTTGCAAAAGGCATTGATATTTGCAGTGCTTCTGATCTCCATGGAAGCAAATGTTTGTGTTCGGCTGTTTACCTCTAATCAATGAAACACAAACATTGCAGTTAAACATTCCTACTTTCTATTCATACTTTGATTTTGTTTTGTCTTATATCTTCTACTTCCCAGTGTTCTCACATGTTTTCAGTATTTTGTCACTTGTTGAATTGTTGGCTTTGTCCACTCATCACTTGAATCCATGACAGAAAATGTAATTATATATCTTCTTGACGTAGCTACTAGTGAACTGTGATGAATATTTGATATTTTGGTTTCAAATCATAAAGTTGCCCATGTCTCTCCTACAGCCTAAATATACTATAAACACTGATTGGCGAGGAAGCTGCTGGGGCTGGATCAAGGCAGAGATATGGAGGGCTTGATTGTCAGGGACGGATTCAGTTGATATCCAGTGATATCCAGTCTTGGTAATGAGGAAAAGGTTGCAAACAGTGCTAATTGTAAGGATAGATAGATAGGAAGATTTTTTAACTATACCCATGATTTATACTTTGAAGAAAATACACCAAAGCCCAATTACTTGAGGTTTTGACTGTCAAAGAGTTCAAGAAAGTATATGTTGTTATAGATGAAATTGCCAAACAAAATTATCATACAGTTCTCAGATTGCCCACATATTTTTGTATTTCTAATCCTATAGAATCAATTTGGAGACAACTTGAGGAAATGATCTGTAGAAAAAATATATTCCCAAATTTCTATATATCTTAAATAACCACATAAGTGGAAAATGTCAGTGCTGCCGATCGGCATGAAAAAGTGAATAAAGTTTGGAAATTCGAAGAATATCAGACCTGGGTGCTACCCATCTGAACAGTCAGAATCAATGTATTATTGATTTGGCAGATGATAGTGAGGAGGGCTCTAATTTTAGTGATGGAGAAGATGAAGTGTACTAATGAACATTTTTTTAAATTAAATTTGTAGGAGTTTGAATTGGCAGCTTGGCAGCATAATTTATGAGATTTTCCTCCTAAATTCCACAATATAATGGTCTTCTGGAAAATAGATCACAAATATTTGGCAACCCTCAATCCTTTTTTGATAACAGATTTTGAATTACTTCTATTTGACTTCATAAATCACTCAGTAGCTTACAAGTAGGCAAGAAAACAAACCATACACCTATTTGGATAATATAAATCAGGTTACTGATATCATCATTATTTTCTGTTGTTTCTGAGTAAACTAATTCAGTCCGGCTCTGGATCCAAACAATTGCAGTTGAGTGTGGATGACTTTGGAATGTCCGCAAAAAATATCAAAAGGATTGCTCCTTCTTTTTTAAGTTTCATATAAGTATTTGTTCTGTAAAACTGCATTTGATGGTTTTTTTTCAGAAATTTTTTTTGGTACTTATGTATTTTTGTCTGAAAAACAGGAAATTGACAATGATAATGTGAACAAATCACTATTTATCAAGATATTTCCAAAAAAAAAGCAGAACCCCTTGTATTGGATGCACTTACAGGTACTTGCTCTTCTTATTTTGTCATTGGACACTTTATATTAGTTTATATACTCATGATGTACTTCAATGACACATTTTAATACAGAAAATTCAACAGGAAATATGATTTTATTGGGAGTTTTTCATATTTAGTGAACAAGCATACCAGATGACAGCCATGTAATTAATAGTCAATCCAAATACGAGATGTCAAATGTCAATAGATTGCTTTTGAATGTGTTTGAATGACATTACACAGGCCATTATTTCAAATGATATTCTTCCTTCTTTTCACTATATATGGATAAATCACAAGAAAATCATATTTCTAGTTCACTCAATACTCAATAATAGAAAGAAATGTGTCTTACATTGTGATATAAATTTTCCAATGATGAAAAAAGAAGGGCAAATTGTTTTAAATGCAATCCAGATGACAGGCGGAAAAGAAGCTGAAATTTGTGACTTTATAGTGAAATATCTTGATAAATAATGGTTTGTTCACATGTTCATTGTCAAATTTGTGTTTTGCAGACAAAAATACATAAGTACCAAAAAGAATTTCCGAAAAAAAAAACCATCACATACTAAATGCAGTTTTACCATTTGTTCTACTATACGAATTTTGTAGTTGATCCCAGCACATTTTATCATCATCTTCAAGTTTAATTAGGTCTGACCTGGTGAATAACATTATGATATTCAGGTTTACTCTGGGGTTTACTGTACCTACCATTCCTTACTGCCTGCCTTTAAGTACAGTAGTAATTCACAGTAATTCACTTGCAGTCAACAATGCTAATTGGTAATGTTCCTCAAATGTGCAATGCAGAAGGTCATTCTCTCCATATAATCTGGAAAGATAAGTTTACTTTGAATTTACTCACTGTGTTCTTCTCAACTTTCCAGTTTGTCCAGCTAATGTAGTAGCTTTCAATCCATTATAGAATCCAGAAGCTCCTCCAAATGTTGCTCCTATCATACAAGATCCTCCAATTTGACCAAATGCAAGTTCAAACCTGCCTCTCTGCTTGCTGCCCCCATCCAAGAAGATGAACTCTGGCTGGTTCTGAGGAATATACCCGGGATCATAGTTCAGATAAGGTGAAGAAAACGGTCTAAAATTTGCTGAAAATTGATTGGAATAAATATTGGGATTTTACATAACATTTATAATTGAGGTTAAGTTCATATTCTATACCTGCTATTCCAGATGTACTGCCATAATTTGAGGAATAAACATCGTTACTATCGTTCAATGAAGACATATTTGGTTTTTGGTTTATTTTTGAGTGTATTCGAAATTTCTTATAATTTCTTGTAGTAAATTACAAGCGTGAATGAAGAAAAGGAGTGATGTCAGATGTCACTGATGTCATGTCAGTTCTCATTGTTCTCAATGTCAGTGATGGACTGAATGGGCAATGTTGCCACAACGTAACAATTATAAAAATATTTTGTACCAAAATTATACGTCAATTGTACCAGATTCAAAAAAAAATAACCAAACCCACCAAACGGAAATTTCGGGATGGAGTGTGCCAATTGACATGAATCAACTCAACAGAGAGTTCTTTATTTTTTAACGCTACACAGCAAGTTGAAATTTCATTATTGTTGTATATTGAGAATGAGCGACAAATTCAAATACAACTTCGTTTCAGATTTTCCGAATATTTCCGATATTTTGTATTCCATTGGTAAAACTGGTGTCGGGTTATGAATTTCATTGGAAAACTGGTTCACATAGTTTAGAGCTTAGTGCAACAATTCTCGCACAAGCTCTAATAGGTCGTGGTGCGAAGTCAGTGCAGTTTCGAACATGGCGAAAACATTGAATATGAACAGTTTGAAAACCAAATTGTTAGTGGCAATTTAATTATTACCATTAAATAGTGATGTGAAAACAGTTGGAGGTTTCAAGGAAATAGAGGAAATTACTTCCCAGAATTTATAATTTTGTTGATAGTATTTTGCAAATTCAATGAAAGAGATACTTATCAAAAAAAACACTCAAAATCATTTCCACGAAACATTTACTTTGTTCTTAATTGAAGTTAAAAAAGAATATCAGGATGCGGACAAGCTATAAACAAAGACAAACCAACTTATTCGATTTAACCTCCAACAATTAATTTTATTCCATTGGGCATGCACCAGTTCACATTTTCGAGGGAACTAACGTAGTGTGGGTGCAAAACTGGTGCAAAACCAGTGCATGAGTTCACAAATGGAATTCGCTATTAGATAAGTCGATGACTCCTTCTGAGATTCTATCCACAACACAACACAATACAACTTTCACCAACTCTGAGGGAGATTTTGATTCTTTAAAAGTTAGTATGGCCATCACAATGTCAAAAGCTTCAGACTGGTTCACCTCGGAACGATTGAATCTGAATTAAAGCAAAACTGAATCCATGATCTTCTCCACATACCCAGAGATAAGTTACGTGGGTAACTTATCTCTGACATACCAGAATGATATATATGAAAACCCAGAACCGGTAACATTTTTGGGAGTATACCTAGATCCTACATTAAAGTTCGACTGTCATGTAAATCATATAGCAAGTAAAGTGAGTAGTAGTATTTACCTTTTGAAAAATCTTCAGTTAGTCTGTACGTATGCGATAATAGTATGGGGACACTCCACTCATGCGTCTAGAGTATTTGGCATTCAAAGAAGAGCAGTGCGCGTACTTAGTAACTTTTGGGATACCGTGCTGATGTCAAACAAAAATTTATTGATCTCAAGATCTTGACCATTCCGTCAAGGTACATACAGGGTGCGGCACCGAAAACGAAACAGAGGCTCTGTAGGTCGCCAAAACCGGATTATCAAAAAAAACTGAAACAGGTCAACTACATTTTCGAGGGGGACATCTTTCTAAAATATTTTCAGCCCTGCGGCGTTGCCGCTTCTAAAGAAAAGAAGCAACAACTTTGTTATTTCAAATGGAACACCTTGTATTTTATTGCATTTTTAGATTCTCCCCGAAGAGCTGATTTCATCAATGCATCACACTTGGGGTCTAGCTGTAATGGTTTCAGGGATATAAAGTGTTCAAAATCGAGATTTTTCAACTTTGACATTTTTTTGTGTCGAAACTATTCATTATTGGTCGAAACGGCTCTCATGTCCCTATCTAAACTTGTGATTTACTATCTACTGACATTTAATTGGAACAGATACAGGGTGATCAGAATTCTGAATCTTGAACCACCCTGTATTTGTTTCAAATAAATGTCAGTAGATAGTAAATCACATGTTGAGATAGGGACATGAGAGCCGTTTCGACCAATAATGAATAGTTTCGACACAAAAAAATGTCAAAGTTGAAAAATCTCGATTTTGAACACTTTATATCCCTGAAACCATTACAGCTAGACCCCAAGTGTGATGCATTGATGAAATCAGCTCTTCGGGGAGAATCTAAAAATGCAATAAAATACAAGGTGTTCCATTTGAAATAACAAAGTTGTTGCTTCTTTTCTTTAGAAGCGGCAACGCCGCAGGGCTGAAAATATTTTAGAAAGATGTCCCCCTCGAAAATGTAGTTGACCTGTTTCAGGACATTGAAATTTTTAATTAATTATTTGTTATTATTGTGTGACTCCTATTTTTTATTTATTTCATCTATTTTATAAGTATATTTGTGTTTTTGGGTGTATGATAAATTGACATTCATCATACTTAATGTTTAATAACACCAAATATTCTATTCTATTCTATTCTATTCTATTCTATTCTATTCCATTCCATTCCATTCCATTCCATTCCATTCCATTCCATTCCATTCCATTCCATTCCATTCCATTCCATTCCATTCCATTCCATTCCATTCCATTCCATTCCATTCCATTCCATTCCATTCCATTCCATTCCATTCCATTCCATTCCATTCCATTCCATCCCATCCCATCCCATCCCATCCCATCCCATCCCATCCCATCCCATTCCATTCCATTCCATTCCATTCCATTCCATTCCATTCCATTCCATTCCATTCCATTCCATTCCATTCCATTCCATTCCATTCCATTCCATTCCATTCCATTCCATTCCATTCCATTCCATTCCATTCCATTCCATTCCATTCCATTCCATTCCATTCCATTCCATTCCATTCCATTCCATTCCATTCCATTCCATTCCATTCCATTCCATTCCATTCCATTCCATTCCATTCCATTCCATTCCATTCCATTCCATTCCATTCCATTCCATTCCATTCCATTCCATTCCATTCCATTCCATTCCATTCCATTCCATTCCATTCCATTCCATTCCATTCCATTCCATTCCATTCCATTCCATTCCATTCCATTCCATTCCATTCCATTCCATTCCATTCCATTCCATTCCATTCCATTCCATTCCATTCCATTCCATTCCATTCCATTCCATTCCATTCCATTCCATTCCATTCCATTCCATTCCATTCCATTCCATTCCATTCCATTCCATTCCATTCCATTCCATTCCATTCCATTCCATTCCATTCCATTCCATTCCATTCCATTCCATTCCATTCCATTCCATTCCATTCCATTCCATTCCATTCCATTCCATTCCATTCCATTCCATTCCATTCCATTCCATTCCATTCCATTCCATTCCATTCCATTCCATTCCATTCCATTCCATTCCATTCCATTCCATTCCATTCCATTCCATTCCATTCCATTCCATTCCATTCCATTCCATTCCATTCCATTCCATTCCATTCCATTCCATTCCATTCCATTCCATTCCATTCCATTCCATTCCATTCCATTCCATTCCATTCCATTCCATTCCATTCCATTCCATTCCATTCCATTCCATTCCATTCCATTCCATTCCATTCCATTCCATTCCATTCCATTCCATTCCATTCCATTCCATTCCATTCCATTCCATTCCATTCCATTCCATTCCATTCCATTCCATTCCATTCCATTCCATTCCATTCCATTCCATTCCATTCCATTCCATTCCATTCCATTCCATTCCATTCCATTCCATTCCATTCCATTCCATTCCATTCCATTCCATTCCATTCCATTCCATTCCATTCCATTCCATTCCATTCCATTCCATTCCATTCCATTCCATTCCATTCCATTCCATTCCATTCCATTCCATTCCATTCCATTCCATTCCATTCCATTCCATTCCATTCCATTCCATTCCATTCCATTCCATTCCATTCCATTCCATTCCATTCCATTCCATTCCATTCCATTCCATTCCATTCCATTCCATTCCATTCCATTCCATTCCATTCCATTCCATTCCATTCCATTCCATTCCATTCCATTCCATTCCATTCCATTCGATTCGATTCGATTCGATTCGATTCGATTCGATTCGATTCGATTCGATTCGATTCGATTCGATTCGATTCATTCATTCTATTCTATTCTATTCTATTCTATTCTATTCTATTCTATTCTATTCTATTCTATTCTATTCTATTCTATTCTATTCTATTCTATTCTATTCTATTCTATTCTATTCTATTCTATTCTATTCTATTGAAATTCAGAAGGGCTGTTTCAAAAATAACAGTTGATATTTTTTATGAGGAATCATATCACTACACTGTTTTTGATTTTGTATCTGGTGCTTTTGACAAAATGAGTGATGATTGACAACACGTTTGCGACGTGCGTGCTGCACAAAATAAATGGAACAGAAAATTGCCAACTCAGCCTAGCTCACAGGTATGCACTTCCGGTTCGGTTTTGTTCACTTACTAGGGGTCTATTCAGTAACTTATCGTTAGAATACGATATCGTTACTTTAACGATACATTGACCAACGACATTTTGAACGATGAACTCTAGAAGCTCATTCAGTATCGATGTCGTCAGAGAAAAATGGATTTGGTGAACGTTGGTAACAGTATTTTGATGATGTCGCTAAAAACGCGCGAAACTTGTCAGAAATTGAAAAGAAGGTATGTTATTTTTGTCAAAAAATATGGCCAGCAACATTTGTGAGGTAGATTGAAATTTATAACAGAGTAGATGAGATTGGAACTATATTTTAGGCCCATATTTCTAAACAGAAGATTACAAGATTGAGAGAACTATCATGGAGAAAGAGGAATTTATTGCGAAAGTACGTAATGAAATTGAAAAATTGAGAACGAAACGATGTATCATTGAATGCTTTTAATACCGACCAAACTAGCTATAAATGTATCTATACGTGTGTATTTGTATATTTTGATACATGCATTCTTTTCATTTCAATAACTGCCGTACTGCGAGAAGTGCAAATTGAAGTTGGTGTTTATTATACCTGATTTCAATATTCCATCTATGGCTATGATTGAATCTAACCTCTAAAATCGTATCTGACAATCAGCAGATGCTACTAGGGAAATTGAGAAGACAAAGAGCAGAATATATGATATATGTCTTATTCTTTTATTCACTTAAACCAATGTTATATAGGCTATATTCCGAATTCAACTGACAGTAGTAAATCTACTGATTTTTCATTCCGAATCAAAAAAATTCACTAAATTTGACAGATACTTGTGAGCAGAAATACTATTCATTCCAAATATTTCGACTCAATATTCTGCTGGAATTGCTGACTATCGAATGGTAGTGTGGCTTCAGTGAACTGTCATTATTTTAGGGGGAGAAGGAATTTCACATTTATTTACGTTCTTCAAACATTTGACCTTGTCATATCAATAATAAATTCATAATAATCAAAAAATACCTGTTATTAAAATAATTGACGCTGAGAATAATATTTAAACACCAGCTGATCAACTGCTGCTGATTACTGATGAAAACCATGAAAACGTGTTCCGAATCACAGCACTGTATATTTCATTTTATATTTCGGAACACAGATTTTCAGCAGTGACTCGAGTTCTGGTGACAATGAATCTACCGCTTTTTCAGCAACAGAGTTCTGAAAATAATCCTTTTTATTCAGGAACTAACCAAACATTTCATATTTACGGAAAGGAAAACTGCTAACCAAAATATCCAGGATTTACGGAACATACCCTCTATTTATAAAGGCTATATTCTGAATTCAACTGACAGTACTGAATCTGCTGATTTTTCATTCCGAAATCAAAAAATTAACTGAAAGTGGCAGATGCTTGTGAGCAGATAAGATGGCTACAAGGGACTGAGCAGACATACTATCTATTCCAAAAATATTTTGACTCAACATTCTGCTGAAATTGCTGAGCATCAGAAGGCAATGAACTCAAAATAAACCAGAAGGTAGTGTGGGTGGCTTCTGTGAACTGTCATTATTTTAGAGGGGGAAGGAATGTAACATTTCCGGTGTTAATGTTATCATTTTCAATTTCAGAAAATACCTGTTATAGAAATAATAAACGCTGAGAATAATATGGAGTATGAAGTAGTAGGAGGTAATGGAAGAAGAAGCAGCATTGGCTAAATGAATAACTAACTACACCTGAATCCATCATAATTAATGCCATATTACGTTTTCCATGAATCATTCAAGTCTCAATCTGGTCTGATCTCATTCTTCATCACTCGAGCTTGAATCGTCATCGTCAACAATCGTAGAAACTAGAGGCTACAAGAATCGATTGCTCTTCCATGTTAAATATTTAATTTTCAAAATTTATATCAAGCAGGAGGCTGAATATCTAGTTCAGATAAACGAGAAACTACAGACTGACAAATTTCACCAGCTGATAAACTGCTGCTGATCACTGATGAAAACCATGAAAACGTGTTCCGTATTACCGCACTGTATTTATGATTTTAAATTTCGGAACACAGATTTTCAGCAGAGTCAGTGGATCTACTGACAGTACTGACCAGTACAAATGGAAATGACGTCAATGTTAAACACGTAGGGTTATAGTCAGTGAAAGAAATGGGATTTATCAGCTTCAACCATGACGGGTTATGTGAATGAAATATCCCTCTCAGGGATTACTCGTTAAACCCGGTTATAGTGGTTTAAGTGGTGGGAGCCAACTACGTCATAATGACGTCAACATCAACCATTTTTGAATTCCTATTCCTTCCACTTTACCCAGTTTACTCAGTTATAACCTCAGGTTTTTTAATTTTGAATCCGAGAAAATAGTAGATTGTTTTATTAGGATCAAAAGTGACACTTTGTTTGACAAGCGAATTTGGCATTTGCGAGGCGGAGCGTTCAGCGAAGCCGAGCGAGAGCAAAATTTGCGAGTCGAACAAAGTCACTTTTGATCCGAATGAAACATGCTATTTTTTCTGCAACCGAAACACTTAACTCAAATAAACATGTGAAGTAACCACCAATGCTGTGCCATATGTATGCAAGGCAACAAATATTGACAAATAATCCATGTGGTGAGAATATTCTACCTGCATTAACAGCAGGTTAGGTTTTCTAGGATGTTCAAATTGTAGTTTCAATATAAATACAACCACAGAGTGACATATTTGTGTGTGGACCAGGTGCTCTAATGGCAAATACCGCGCCAGTGCCAGCTATATAGGAACAAGACGTGGAAAATGTTAGGTTAGCGAGCATATCAACAATGATAATAGTGATTATTTATTCCTCTCCATACTACACTGTGTTTGACTTGATAATCGAATGAAGCTAAACAATATCGTTGTTTGAGACAAAAAACTATTGCTTGCCGTGATTATTCAAAAACAAGTTATCCATCCCGAGAATAACGAATGAAATACAGATCAAGCAAGTATTAGAATCTTGAAGGCTTCCCTGATCAAACAAAAATACTCAGCTGAGATGTTTATAATTCCAATACTAAACTATAATAAGGTGTATTTATATCTCCAGCATGGGTATGAAATGCCAAATCTGCTGAAATCGGTAACAAATGAGGTATGCGTCTCAACCCAAATAACCAACCGTCACAATGTTGTTTATTCTTGATGACGTCCAGTACATCCTTTTTAGTTCCTAGGAGCTAAAGTTCAACTTTAGCTCCTAGGCACTAAAATTCAACTTTAGCTCCTAGGAATTAAATATGTTGCCTAGCAACATACCTATTTTTGTGTCAGTAATTGATACGTCAATTTAAGAGCTAATTTTGGTATCAAAATGGACGACTTTTGTGTCGGTTGCAGAAAAAAATTGTTGTTTATCTATAATTTATTGTTATTGTGCAAACCTAATTGATCATGTCTATAAAAATAAACAATAAAAAAATAAGTTGTGTGCAACCATGTTATTCATAATGGATGATTTGGGATTTGACCTCTGTTTTTTTAGGATAAAAAGACAGATTACTCCATTCGATAAAAGAGATCGAATCATCGGAGTATTGCCACAATCACTGCTCTAGGAGATAACAGATGTCATCATTTCAGGAATCGTCAATCCTTTGGAACCTGGATAGATTATTACCTCTTGAATCAAATTTCTATCGCATGGTTTGGATATGAGGAGAGATAGTTGGAGTCACGATGGACATCGTGGTTGGAGCCATATAGCAAAGAATAGTATAGGTTTCTCAGGGTTCTCTTCTGTGCATATAGACCCATAGACCCAAAACATATTGTTTAAGGAGCTTGTCATCTGGAAACATGAACCCACCTAAATAAATATTTTACTTTCCTAATCCCTACCCTACCATTTCGCAATCTTTGTACATTTGTCCATGATGAACGGGATTATCGACATACACTATTTATTTGTAATTTGAGTGTATAATAATATCCCCCATCTTTCAATTCGTAAACAAATCTTCAACTTTAACATTAACCACCTTTACCAACGTTGGAGTTGATGGTAAACCCAAGATGACGTCACGGTTAAGCACAATGAAATGAGATTATCAGCTTTAACCATGACGGGTAATGTGAATGAAATATCCCTCTAGTTTAGAAAATACAAATGACGTTATTGACATTTTCTTAACTGTCAAATATGATATTCCTTTGTTTTGTGCGTTTTGTTATATTGTGGTTATTATATTTTTAATAATTTTCTAATTCTATAATAAAGTCTTCAAGTTCTTCAATTCAGACATGTATGTGAGGACTGAGGATATGAAGAGAAAAAATAAATAAGCATAATAAAATAGTCATGACTACTAATCAGTGTTCAATTTGTTTGAATCTTGCTGATTTCATAAATACAGTGCATGATACTGATGAAAACGGTGTAAAATGGTCAATGAAACTTCAGTATGTTGTTCCAGAAGTGGTATGTAGACAAATAATCGATTAATCGCGTACATATGATGAATGCCTTTTTTATAGGAGTGGGATGGTAACTACTTGATTTGTGGAAATTGTATACATGAACTGAGAGTTTCTTGTACCTTCAGGGGGCATTGTCTGAATATATTGAAAAATGTCAAGAGTGAAACAACAAATGAAAACTGCCCATCATCAAATCTCAAATTTGAAGAAGAATGTGAAAGTGATGCACCTATGGAATCAGGTTTTGATAACACTGATGTCACTGATGAAGATGAACATAAAGTTTTCACATGTTTTCAGTGCAACGAGAGTTTCAATAAGAAAGTTGATCTCATAGAACACATTGAAACTGTACATAATTCTCCTACTCTGAAGTATAAACGCACTGAAAAATGTTTAAACTGTGGACGAAAGTTTGCAAAGAATGCTTCATTGAAAGAACATATTGAGATATGTGATGGAGTGAGTAGGCATGCCCGAATGGGTGAAAAAGAACACCAATGTGATAAATGTAAAAGATTCTACTCTACAAAGAAAATATTACGCCAACATAAGAAAAGGTGTATTAAAAAAAATGTGGAAACTAACTACCAGTGTACAAAATGTAAAACATTTTACAAACATTTGAGTTCCCTTCAAAAGCATCAGAAATTATCATGCCAGAAAGATGATGTACCATTATTTTTCTGTGAAGTTTGTGATGAATCTTTCCAATCTTCCAGTACACTTGATAAACATTTGATAGAAGAGCATAAAAATCATATTTTTTATTGTAGAATTTGTGGTGAATCCTTCAATTCTAGCCAAGAATATACTAACCACAAAAAATCCAAACATAAGCAAGAAATTCTGGGTAAAGGGAGAACATTCACATGTGACATTTGCAATTCACAATTTAAATTTGTCAGAGCAATAATTGAACACTATGGGACTGTTCACTCTGTAGAAGAAAAGCTGGTGAAACCATACAGCTGTGAAATTTGCAGCAAGAGATTTAGGACCTCAACTAATCTAAACAACCACAAACTTTATCATGGAAACAACAGGACAAACATATGCAGTATTTGTGGAAACAGTTTCATAACTAAAGGAGATCTTATGAGACATGAGACACTTCATTATGATGACAGAAATCACAAATGTGATAAATGTGAGAAAACATTCAAAACCATGGATAACTTGAGGACTCATTGTTTGATAGTGCACACTGATCCTATGATGTGGAAATTTGTTTGTCATGTTTGTGGTAAACGCTTTCCTCAGAGATCCAACTATGAACAGCATCTGAGAAGACACCTGGGAGAGAAGAAATTTGTCTGTGCACTGTGCAACAAAGCCTTTGTTACTAATAAGGAATTACAGAAACATATGGATCACCATTCAAATGATAGGCAGTACAGATGTGATCAATGTGGAAAAGAATTCAGACAAAAAAATAGCCTGAACATTCATCTAACAAGAACCCATGGAATTGGTAATGCCAAAATACCTATTAAAGAAAGAAAGCATCCCTGTCATATCTGCCATGCAAGGTTCTATGATAAGTCAAAATTAGCAAGGCATATTCGTACACACTCAGGATTGAAGCCATTTGCTTGTTTTGCTTGTGAAAGAAAATTCAATGATAAATCTTATTTGAAACAGCATCTAAAGAATTCTCATAATATTTTGGAAGATCCTGATGGCCTCAAAATTTTTTCAATGGAATAGTGATAATCAAATTATTATTATTTGGTTTTCACAAGTGATTGATTTACAATTATGTATATACATTTTATATTTTAATGGTGTACCTTTATGCTTGACATAAGGGCCTTCTAGAATATTAGGGATATCATTTGGTATGGGTGAATGGTACATGGAGGGGAGAGGTTTTTGCATTTTTTTACTTTCAGGTCACTTCTGGTTTCACTGGAAATAGCTCCAATTGTGAGTTATTAAATGAAACACCCTATATATTGTTACATTTTGATCAGCTACATGATATCAGACAAACAAATCTAAGGACCTCAGGTTTTTTTACTTTCAGGTCACTTCTGGTTTCACTGGAAATAGCTCCAATTGTTAGTTATTAAATGAAACACCCTATATATTGTTACATTTTGATCAGACAAACAAATCTAAGGACCTCAGGTAATATCAGAAAATTAAAATCACAAAGTTTCAGTAACTATGGCTAAATTACATGTTCCTGTCTAACTGCCTATTATGTGACAAGCACTTTTCAAAAAGAGAATTTCTCTGGGAAATTTCTTGAAGAAGCTAAGGATACTGATTTATTTGCTTTTGGATTAAAAATGAAAATATACATTGAGTCTTACTAAAAAAAATACTGGATAACACTTCATTCAGTTTTCCAGTAAAACCGAAAGTGGCCGAAAAATGAATAAATTGAAAGTAAAAAAAAAACTTTAATAAAAAGCTTCCATTTAAACGCTCTAAAAAGAAGAAAATACAATTTTTCGTAATAATTTTAACTATCAACTTATAACCTCATTATACACAATTTATATGATCATAAAAGTTTGTCGCATGATTCACTTGTGTGAATGAACTAGTACTTATTTAATTATGTAAAATCTGCTGATGAAATTTTTAAAATTACAATTTAATTAAATATTGATCATTGCAACAAGCTTTTATGATCATATAAATTGTGTATAATGAGGTTATAAGTTGATAGTTAAAATTATTAAGAAACAATTTATTTTCTTCTTTTTAGAGCGTTTAAATATAGCTTTTTATTAAACAGTTTTTTTTTACTTTTAATTTACTTTCTAATTTTTAGTTATCAAGTAACTCTCAACGAGCCTTTTCATTTGATACCCATATTGTAAAAGTATATCAAAAATAGCTATTCCGCCATCTTGGATGGTCCGTCATATTCGATTTAGAATGACGTCACATCATTTTTCGAGTTACTCTCAACGATCCTTTTCATTTGATACCCATATTGTAAAAGTATATCAACAATAGCTATTCCGCCATCTTGGATAGTCCACCATATCCAAACTGAACGTGTGTACAAAATTTCAGCTCAATCGGTTGAAGATTTCTACTTCAAAATTGAGTTCAAAGATTCCACCCGAACATACATACATACATCCATACAATGCAAGTTAAATAAAAGCTTTTAATCAAAATTAAAAATATGCAAAACTCTCCTCTTCACATACCATTTACCAATACCATTTTGATACCACTAATATTTCAGTAGTAATGACTTGTCTAATACATTTGTTGACACCCAGCATGTAGTAGGTATATTTATAATTATTTTGATGATTATTGATCAAATTCCCTTATATTGAAATGTACCAGATAAATAGATATTCATTTAATTTTTATAGTTCTTTTCACCCACCTGATAAAAACACACATGAGAAAGTAAGACATAAATTTATGAGGTAGGCACTGTTTAGGACAAGTTAGTGTTATTTTAATATCTGGATGTACATGCACTGTACAGTGTGTCCAGTTTTCGATGCTTTTGCGTGATATCTCAGTTATCTTTGGAGATAGAACTTTACGGTTTTCGCAGTCCTGTGCCACTGTTTTGTGAAACTGAAGATTGCCTTACTGCATGCATAACTATTTTCGTTTTTGAGATACAGTGCGATTTTGAAAATTTATAATTTTTGGATCCCCTGTATATCCACGAAGTTTCATAGCAAAAATTTCAAATTGAAATCTCAACCCATACAGAATTTCACGCAGTATCCAGTAGCGTACACATTTTTTTTCCGGGGTATGGTTTTGCAGATACGACTCAAACTAATGATTTTTCAAATGGAACACCCTGCATTTTATCAGCTCATTGAATTCCTTATTTTTTTCTTTTCAAAATGATATATAATGTATAAATATGAAAATTCCAAAAATGCTTCAAAATCACTATAACATTGAATTTCAAACGGATTGGATGGATTTTTTATATAAAAAAGTTCCAATAGACGAAATATTTCCTATGATTTTTCCATGAAGAGGACTAATTCAATACCAACACTAATTAACAAACAAAACACGAATTTTAGTTACCTGATAGCAACAAATAAATAGTTATAAAAAGTTCATAATTGAGAATAAGTACCTGATTAAATATTCACTAAAACAATTGAATTTCGAAATTATTCAGTAACTTATTTATTGAATTGTTCGAATCCATATCTATTTTCCTTCACACACTTTTTTAATACGTCTTATATATGCATTCAAAATCATTAAAGGATGTCTTTGTAATTTCTGGAAAACTGCCTCTGTTGTTGCAGGAAGTTGTTCAAGATTTGTGTGCCTCTTACTGTATTACGTATTGAGAAAGTGCGATAATTTTATGTTTGGGAAAATGTACATCGATTTGAACAATTCGATGAATAAGTTACTGAATAATTTCGAAATTCAATTGTTTTAGTAAATATTCAATCAGGTGCTTATTCTACATCATGAAGTTTTATTACTAATTATTTGTTGCATTCAGGTACCTAACTTTTGTGGTTGTTATTAATTAGTGTTGATATTGTATTTGTCCTCTTCATGGAAAAATCTTTAGAAATATTCCTCAAATTGCAACTTTTTTTCATGAAAAATCCATAGTCCTATATTAAAATGTTTTTGTGATTTTTGCATCGAAAACTGGACACACTGTACAGTGGCGTCCCGAGAAGAAACTTTTTTTCTCTCTCAAAAACAACACGAAATACAAAAATAATTTAATTGATTCATTTGTTGAACAAGCTGTAAATGTCTTATTACATTGCCATTTCTTATTGAAATTAACTGTGGATATTAATTACATAAAAACTAACTTTCACTGAAAACAAATGAAATAAGTGTAAAGAAAATAGGAATAGAAGTTTTTATTTATATCATATTGAAAGAAAAAGACGATTTTCTGTCAGTGGGTAAATCAAGGAGGTGAAATATTGAAATCTCTGGATTTTTAAGATTAAGATCTCGTCTCATCACCATTAGGAACCCAAGAAAAAAATTAATAGATAATCATATCTTATTTGGAAAATGTTTAAAGGTAGGTACCTATACAATACGAATTAAGTGGATGAATATATTGAAAATATGATCCAATTCAATCCAAGTTTGCTGTTTGGTTGAGTTGACGTGTTATCTTCAATTATAGGTATCTGGTTTTCAGCTCAACGATAGCACACTTGAATTGAATGCAATACAACTTTCATCTCTTCGAATCACCAAGTTCTGGGATGGTATAGTGAGTGAAATGAATATTTTTGCAATCAGATTGTAATAATTCTAAGATATTCAAACAATATATAGGGTTTAAAACACAACACGTTTTTCACAACCATCGTGGTCCGCGCAATGAGGAATTCGTTTAGACATCAACTTCGCATTCTAGTTTCAATTTTGAAATTTACAGTTTTTGTGATGAATTATAGTCAATACTCCATAACAATTACAAAACAGATGAATGCATTTGAGCAGTTTTCAATGGATATAATTATTTTCTAGTTATTATTTTATTTATTTATTCATTTAGTAGAAAGATAATATACAAGTCAATGTAATATAAAAACAGTCATCAGATCTAAAAGAACAAGGAACATCTAGACACTTAATTCACAAACTTAAGACCAACACAAAAGGTACAATAAAAATACAGGACAATAAATGAACAATTTAAAATCTTCAAAAGTTTGAGTTGGTTCGTTTCAATAAATGCAGTTTTAACTTGGTCTTGAATGTATTGATGGAAAATGCATTCTTCACGTCAGATGACAAGTCATTATATTGTTTCAATCCTTAAAAAAAAACGGAATTTTTTGCCAACCTTTTACTCCTCGATGAATTAAAAAAGTGTTCTTTTTGTCTGGTGTTAATAATAATAAAGTGCTTTATTGATCATATGTACAATACAATCAACTGGCCATCGACCTGAGTCCTTCAGCCAATATGTTTTATTTCTTCTTCTTGAAATGTTTTTCCTTTTGAGTTGGTTAAAGAGTGAAGACAGTTTTTGTTGAAAAAAAAAACAAAAAAAAAACAAGAATATTTTACATTAAATAAAAAAAATATTATGGAATTTCGGTTAGATCCTGAAGTAGTGTTATCAGCGACTTTTCTGGAAATTTGTTTCTTGGTCTAGCATTGGTCCTTTCTAGAATCAGTGGAGTTATCAGATTCATGTTCTCAGGCTTGGAGGCAAATTTCTTAGACAGTGTTGGCAGTCTTTCCTGTAACCTTGTCTGGTGTTATTGTTCAAGTAAATCTTTATTATTGGCTTGGGTAAAATTGTATGGAACCATTTATTCAAGTATGAATATTTTTTCGCGCTAAGAAAGCACCTCACTCCAATTATCACGCATGTTAATTAGTGTCGTCTACCTGTGCGCAGCAGGACAAAATTGCTACCATCATGCTTATCATGTGCTGATCATCGTTATAACCGCTTACAAGTGTATCCTACCCCGGGGATTTTCAATAAGAGCAATTTGCTAGAAAACCACCTGCTTCAGCTTCAATCATCATATTTCTGCCTTACATCATATCCTGACCAGGAACACCGCAGCCGGCCGGCTATTACACCATACCTGCATACACCGCATGGAATCATCAGGTGAGTGCAGTTGCTTTCTCGTATCAAAAATCTAATTTCATATTGTCTATGCGATTTGAACCTGCCTAAGAAAATACAGTCCACTCAAATATTGAACAGTTATGATGATGCATTTCTTTATTATTAGTCAGCTTATTTACCAAATAATTTGGTGATCCACCTCTTTGTATTTTTAAAACAAATACCAATACCAAAAATTCAAAATAATCCTCAATAGGCAGCCAATTTAAACTTTTCAACATATCCTTTATTTATGGGTGTGTACTTATTACATGCTAATATAATACGCATTGCTCTGTTTTGCAGTTTTTGTATCCTATTCAAATCATTCTGATTCAGAAGACAATTTTCTTGGAAAAAAATGAGAGGTAGTGTGAACATTTAGACAAATAAAATATTCAACGATACATTTTTGATATTATATAGTTCACATGTTCTCGGAATGATAGTTTACGATCTACTATGACTCCTAAATATTTGAATTTCTCAACTTTTTCTTTACAATCATTTCCAATCTTCAAGTAATAGTTACTTATTTTCAACTCTTGTTGTATTGCTTCCTTTGCGATCAACAAAATTTTAGTTTTTGATACATTGATTTTTAGTGAATTCTGGCATGTATAGTTGAGCGCAGATTGTATTACAGATATTAATTTATATAGATCACGTGAAAATGCATATATTAGTGTATCGTTCGCAAAAAGATGAATATTGATGCAGATGAAAAGCCATTAAAATTAACTTTTTGTTAATCTATGGTAAAAGTCCATGGTATCTCAAAGTGGAGTGAATAGATTCATAAACAAGACACACTAAGTCATCTCCACAAATTTAATTTGTGGAGATGACTTAGTTTGTCTTATGTAACTTTTTGTCACACTCCCAGTCAACCCAATTTTCTTCAGTTTTTCAATTAACCTCCTATCAATGGTTTCAAAAGCACTTTGAAAATCAAGAAAAACCGCTAGTACAACATAGTCAAAATCCAACAAATTCTTCCAATCGTCAATGACATACTGAATTCAGCTGTTTCACAACTGTGTTTTTTCCTGATACCAGACTGATTGTCATTTGAAGAATGATTTTGATCAATGTATTCTACTAGTTGAATATGAACATATTTATCTAATATATTGTCAATAGTACTCAACATATTTATGAGGCGAAGATCACGTATGCTTTGTTTGAATTCTGCCTTTTTGGTATAGGAATCATTGTAGATATTTTTAAGGCAGAAGGTACTATGCCTTGTTCGAGAGAACAGTTTATGAGGTTGGTAATCGGGTTTCTGATACTCTTCAATGAGTTTCTTAAGAAATATTCATTCCTTCTTTGGATCAAGCAATTCAAGAGTTACAACTTGAAATTCATGAGTGTTTCTCAAACAAATTATTCACGAAATTAATCACACAAATCAAATTGATATGCAATACCCAACTTAATACAAAATTGAAATATCAAACTCCCTGTAGCTTAAAAACTGATTAAATACGTGATGTTGATACTGATCTTTTCCTACAACTTGAATAAACAATCAGAAATAGAGAAAATCCAATCATTCAGAGAATAATCATTTATGAAATTCGATTCATCATATCATTTATTTAATGTAGGTAAAGTACCTATATAACATTTTGGCATTGTTATCCAGTCCTGCAACAGTGGAAGCTCAATCTAATGGGGAACAGGTGTTATGAGCAAATCAATAAAATATAATTTCATTATCACACAGGCAACAATTATTTTATTAATTTTCAGAAAATTGGAAGACTTAAACCTCAAGTCCTGTTCAAACCATTTGCATACTGAAATTCCGGACTATTCTCATACTCGCACATATCCAGAGCAACCTCACAACTTTCTTTTACGACTCTTTTGGGGTCTTGCAGATACCTGTTCAAAACATTTATACAGTCTTCGGTAGCAATAGCTCCTAACGCTTCAGCACATTCGTGCCTGACCATTTCATTTTCTTCATCGTCTTCTAAAGAATTTCTTAAGTAAGTGAAGCCACGTTCATTTTGAAGTTGTCCCAGAACAAATGCAATTTCATGCCTGAATAAGGCACTACCGTGCTTCAAAGCTGTACCTAATGCGTCGACTGCTTCATTTGTTCCCATGTTCCTGAGTGAAAACATTGCTCTGTACCGCTCAAAAAGTGTGGCAGCATCGTTGAGCAAAACTGATTTCAGTTCTTCTACATTTCGAGTATCGTTAGGAGGTGCTGGGTCCACTGAATTATATGGGTTCTGTGATTGGTTCTCTTGGTTTCCATGGTTTTGGAGCCATTTTATCCTCTCTATGGCTAGCTCGCATGTTTCAGCTACTTCGACTACTTCATCATTTTTATATTTTTCCAGTACTTCTATACTTTCCAAGCTGCCAATCGCACCCAATGCTTCCGCTAAAACATCGATGTTTTCGTTATACAGCGTGTCTCACTTTAAACGGACCCCCTTTATATCTCAGTTATTAGTCATGCGATTCCAACCAAATTTGGTGTGGTATAAATAACCATCAATATGATCAGTTTTACAGAGATGCACATTATTTTGGACAGTGTCGTGCGTTTTTATTGAAATAAAAAGGGGTCGATTTTTTCTTAAAATCATATTAGGCATTTTTTTACAGGAAATCTAACTCCATATTATTGTTCCTCATGCTTTCGAACCTCCATATGCAAAAAATCACCTGATTCCCAATTAACAGAATTGGCTTCATTTTTTTCATTTTCAGTCTCGCATAAATAGTGACTTCAAATCAACTACGGTAGGTGGAAAATCATGATTTGGAAGGAAAAACGGGTTATTAGTGATAACTACCCTTTATAGACAGTGCCACGAATAGCGAAGATACAGATTATACACAATAGTGTGAACTAATCAAACTTTAATAAACTTTTCAGCAAAATACAATCTTTCGTTTTTCTTTGTAACTGACAAATCCTTTTTTTTTTCCGTCAACCTGACATCCTACCCTCGCACACTTTACCGTTACCATTCGTCCATCCTGACTATGGTTTTTGTCCCCAAAAACGAGTTGAATTGAAACAAAGGAAAGTGATAAAAAAAACTAAAACTTCATTCAGTAATGAAATCTTCAAATTTCTTGGGCTTTCTCCGGTTTCTCGTTGGTCTCAGACATGCTTCTTCTTCTCCAGGACTTTTCTCCTCTATGATGTCTGGAACATAGTCCGGATCTTCTTCATATTCGTTTTCAGTTTCGTATGGTTCACACTGATCTTCAGACAATATTTCAGTTTCTAATATTGGTGTTCCTTCCAAAATATCCTCTTCATCACTGCTCTCATCATTCATTTCCTCATCCTCAATAGCATTTCTGTATCTTTTTAGCTGTGAAATATGAGCATTAGTACAAAAAGACTTATTTCCTTCTTCTACATTTAGACTTTCTACTTTGTATATATCATTTCCCATTATTTTAATGATCACTAGAGGTCCTCTGTACTTCGATTGTGTCTTAGTTGGCTGTCCAGTGGACACATGAGCCCTCTTCATCACGACAATATCTCCTACTTCATAAGATTCTTCAAATCTTTTACAATCATACCTATCCTTATATTTCTTCTGTTTTTCTTCAATTTTTTCTCTTATATCTTCATGAATTTTCTCTGGTTCCTGGTACATTTCTTTTGCAATATTATACGCTATTTTCGCATCTTCATAACGTGGTGTATAACCATGAAGACATTTGAACGGTGTTTTACCCGTAGTTCCATTCACTGTGTTATTCAAATGTCTCTCCACATTTTTAATATTTTTGTCCCATGACTCTTCGTCATCCATGGTAGTGGTGATAACTGGAAGTAAGAACCTGTTGATAACTTCTATTTGACCATTAGCTTGTGCCCAGCGACTAGCTATCAAATTATGCTGTATACCTGCTTCTTTGCAATAATTCTGGAATACTCCGCAAGTAAAAGCTGATCCTCTGTCCGTAACTGCTATTCTTGGAATTCCAAACTTCTGCACAAAGTTCTTTAACATCATTACTGTTTCTTTTCCTGTTGTAGTTTTTACTGCATATAACTGGACGAATTTTGTAAGTGAGTCGATGATAGCAAGGACATATGAATTTCCTTTCTCACTTTTCACGAATGGTCCGAGATGGTCTAAATGTATTCTCTCCATAGGCCTGAATGTTGGCGGAATAGGATGTAGTCGTCCAGGTCTCTTACCACCTGGAGTTTTTTCAGTTAAACATTCGAAACATCCATTTATATGTCTCCTCACATATTTTCTCATGTTCTTGAACCAACATGTTTCTAATATCTTGCTCATGGTCCTATCCACCGAAAAGTGTCCGCCCATATCATGATATTTAACAACTATTGATTTTCGCATTGAATTAGGGATAACATAAAGCCATCTGTCCTCCTGTCCTATTTTGACTGACCTAAATAATCTTCCATTCTCCAAATGATAATTTTTGCTTTTGTTCTTTTCTTCTTTAGTCATATCATCGGTTCTCTTTTTCAAAATGTTTATTAATTCGACCAAGGTTTCATCGTTTCTTTATATCATAAGAATTTTGTCTGCTTCTTCAATAACAACGAAAACTCCGAATTTATCATTCATATCTTCAAAAAGATTGTCGTTTTCTTCTACTGGTGCTCGAGAAAGGGCATCAACATGAGCCATTCTCTCACCAGGCCTATATTTGATTTCAAAATCATATTCCATTAGAGTTGCGTACCAAACGTGCTATTTGTGGTTTTAATGATCTTTTAGAGTTCAAGTATACTAAGGCTTGACAATCAGTGACGACTGTAAAATGAATACCTAGTAACATACTTCGTAGTCTTTCTATGGACCAAACAATAGCCATGAGTTCCAGTTTGTGAGAATGATATTTTTGTTCCGCATCCGTATTTTTTTTCGAAACACAATATACCAAATGCATTTTTCCTTGGTCGTCTTCTTGTAGAAGAACCCCAGCTATTCCCACTGCACTAGCATCGGTGTGTAATTCTGTTCTGTCCTTGCAATTGTAAAGCTTCAAAACCGGTGCCATAATCAATCGTTCTTTCAATGATTCAAAAGCTTGTGAAGAATCATCATCCCAAATAAATTCAGAATTTTTCTTTGTTAAATTTGTTAAAGGCTTAGCAATAATAGCATATCTTTCTATAAATCTTCTGAAAAATTCTGTCAAACCGAGGAATCTTCTGATTTCGTGGACATTTGCTGGTCTAGGAAAATCAAGAATTGCCTTCATTTTACTCTCACCCGGCTGTAGTCCTTCTTTAGAAACAATGAATCCTAAATAAGGTACTTGTCGACTGCCAAAAACGCATTTCTTGATATTCATCGTCAGATTCGCTTTCTTGAATGCCTCAAACACAAGTCGAAGTCTATCCAACATATCATCCCAATCTTTAGCAGGAACTAGTATGTCATCAAGATAACACATACATATTTTACCACGCAAATCTCTCAAAACAAGATTCATCATACGAACGAATTCAAATGGAGCGTTACTCAATCCAAAAACCATTCTCGTGAATTGCCCAGTATCATCATTTGTTATGAAAGCTGTTTTTTCCTGTGCACTCTCGGATAAAGGAACTTGAAGGTATCCACTAGCTAAGTCCAGAGTAGAGAATAAACAACAGCCACTTAATCCTTCGAATTGCTCGTCAATCTGTGGAATAGGAAAATTCATTTTAATAGTTTGTTTATTCAGTTTACGGAAATCAACAACGAGACGTTTTTCACCATTCTTCTTGCCTACAAGGAAAACTGGACTCGCATAAGCCGAACTTGTTTCTTTGACAATCCCAACATCCTTCCATTCTTGAACGATTCTAGAAATTTCCATACGATCGTCTGGAGTCGTTTTGTATGGTCTTGCTCGAACGGGAATATTGTTATCTATAATGTCCATCTGAGCCACCTTCGTACAACCAAGTTCCTTCAAGTTCAAAGCAAAGGTGTCTCGAAATTCATTCACCAACTTCAACAATTTTTCAAAACAACTATTTGAAATATCAGAGTCCACATTGATCATTTCATCTGTAAGAGGTTCTTTTGGTTTTGCGAATGAATTTTCATCATTCATTTCAATTCTTTTAATGCAAAATAGATTATCTCCTTTCATAATTTGACAGTCTTTCCTAGAATTGTTCACTATAGAAACTTGTAAGTCAACCCCATTGCATGTACTGTTTACAAAACCCACAGTATCTTTCAATATAGTTGTATCATCCTGTGAACAGACATGTTTGGAATCATTATCGCAAAGCTGCAACTGGCAAAACGGGTTTTCATTTGCGTATTTAAATATCAACGCATTTCCTAGTCTATAATAAGCAAGACAATTTAACTCAGTAAAAGTTCTTCCTAGCAAAACATCCATATTTTGGGCAAAATCTGGAACAACCCATAAATCGACATTTTCAACAACAATATCATCCATGGATATTTCAACAATAACCTTCTTTTGACAATTAACTGGATTTTCTTGTCCAAAACCAAACAATTTTCTACTGGAATCTATACTGATCAATTGTCCGCTAGTTACCAAACTTTCTCGTATGGTACACACAGCACTACCAGGATCAATGAGAGCTGCTACTTGGAGATGTCTATCAATTTTAATTTCCCGTATGAATTTCTCAATAGAATTATTACAGTTTTCCTCCAGATTAATTAGCGATTGTGTAATTTTTTCTTTGCTGCCTGAATCGGATGGTTCGTTTTTAGAAGGGCAATCTCTCCGGAGATGTCCCTCACCTTTGCATTTATAGCAGGTGAATTTCCTTGTTTCCTTTTCTTCTATTCTAGGATTAGAGTTCGAAAACTCTGGTTGTTTTCCGACTCTTTCTGGCGCGGAACTGCTTGAAGAATCTTGTTCATTTAATCCATTCGAGTTTCTAGAAAATGTCTTATAACTCCCAGGAAAATGCCGTCCTTGTGCTTGACAATGGATTCTATCAAATTCATGAATATCATGTAGAAGAGCATCTTCATCTACATGAGCAGCTGCTAGCAAACCAGGAATTATTTGCTTATTTGCCAAGCCTATTACCACTTGCTCTTTGATCTCATCAAAATCCAAGTTGTTTTACCAAATTTAAATTTGAAATCAGAAAATGTCTTGATTATTCCTGCGTTTCCATTAAACCAGTCCTTTGCAGTTCCAATCAAATGTGTTTTTGCTGTTTCTAATTTGAATGTGTCAGGCCAGTTGTGTAAAAGGGCGTCAATCCGTGATTAATCGATCATTTAGCGTGGTACATATCCGCACGCTAAATGCCATATTAGTTATGTGAGTAGAAACACTTTTTTATGTTGAACTCACCGTTTCCGAGTAAATAATTATTACGTTCGCAAAGATGCTGTTTAGATGTGCCTGTTTTTCTGAAACCCTTCATAGGCATCT